ATGTATATATATATATCAGTATATATATGAGATAAGACGTAAGCTGCATCTATTAATGCAGCTTACATTTTTTCTTTTTTTTGAGCCACAAGGTCGCTTGGGGTCATTGAGCCAAAAAACTGTACACTTCTTATTGCTGGGCCTGGCCAGGCAGGCTTCTATGTACAAAAGTAGAACCCCTCATGTCTGACTGGAACCACCTCATCAAAAGTAGAGCCTAGCCGAAAAGGGGGTTCTAAAAAGTAGATCCGCCCAGGGGTCTGGGATGGGGTTAATGCCGAGTTGTCTCGATAACTCCTGGATGTCCTGTTGCACATTCGTGTGTGGAACAACGTTCTCGATGAGGACGTAGATGGGATCTGCTGTAGCACTTGCTTGATCTGTTGAACGATCTGCACGAACATCTGGAAGAGGTGGCCTGTTGTTCCTGCTGTGTCGGACGGGTTCGCTCGGATGCCGGAGAAATCTGGGCAAGGTGGTCCGCCTGTGATCAGGATGGTGATCGGGATGTTCGGATCCAGATTGTCCAGCAGTGTGTCGATCAGCCTCTCGATGTTGAAGTCGTTGATGTCTCCCATATGTATTGGTTGGAAATGCTCGTCGATGACGTTGATGCATTCGGGGTCTGTTTCCCAGCTGACTGTCAGTGCCGGGTGAACGCCGAGCGCGCGGAGCGCGAGGCTGGCTGCTCCAATGCCATCGAAGAAGCTGAGGTGGACAAGGGTGAGCTGTTGCACGAATGTATGCGCAAGGTCTTTGATTCTGTGTGATTGTTGCGACCCCTTCGCCTTGGCGGAAAGGTCCTCGTTTGAGGGTTGTGGTGTTGGCTGGTCGGGTCCAGGGTCTGTCCCTGGGCCGTGCTGTCCCTAATGCTGGCCCTTGCCTCGTCCACGGCCTTTGTTGCCCTTGCCGTCCTTGCCGGGCTTGCCTTTGGAGGGTTGATTGTTCTGGAGTGGCGCGGGGCGGGAAGGCCTGTCGCTGTGCGTTCCAACTTGTCTGATTATATGTTGGCCACTGTTGTTGTTGCATCGGCATGGGGGGAACGTGGGTGACTGCCATGCGGTTCCGCCCCTTTCGTCTTGCCCTTGTTGCCTTTGCCCTTTCCTGGTTGGCCTTTGGGTGTCCGCCATCGTTGCTGCTCCTGGTCGTTGCGTTGCTTCTTCTTGGGGGACTGCATGAGGGCGTCATTGACTGTGGTCAGGTCCTGCATGATCTCCTCGGTGATGACTGGGAACGTCTCATTCTGTCTCATCCGCATTGCGATGTCCCAGGCGAATGTCTCCCAGAGGGTCTTGATCTGTGCCAGACGTGTGTTGTTTTTGCGGACCAATGTTGTGAACCACTCGCAGTATTTGATGACGGACTTCTCGGTGC